CCAAGGTTTGTTATATTAAAGTGTTTCCATACAACAGTTGCCCTATCATAATCTCTATCAGTGGTATGTTCTTCATACAACTGACTATAGAAGTGTTCCTTACTTGATAGTTGTTCTTCATCAAATTTATCAAAGGAATTCATATAGTCGTATGGGTATATTCCTTTATCAGTTAGTAAGTTTAAATCAGTTTTAGACTTGATATATGGATTTGTTTTTGTGTATCTGAAGTGGTTTTCCCATTCTTTTACTTGTTCATTTCCTTCATATTTATTTAGTCTGACTAATTTGTCCAGTGATGCTGATAGAAAAGCCAAACTGTCCTTAAACTGACAAGCACCAAATGAAAAGGTTATAAACTTTTCACTGTTTTGTGCTATTATATCTATCCTTTTGTGTTCATTCAATTCTATGTTCAATTCATTTGCTGTAGCAATGACTAAGTGAGCATCATAGTTTTTTAGGCTATGAAAAAAATATTGGGAGTTTAAAAAGCTTGAATAACCTAAATTACATTTTACATGCGCTGCGCCTCTGTATTTACCTGTGAAGTGGCAGTGGTCGCGGACTTTCTCATCATCAGGTTGGAATTTCTTATTACATATTGAGCAGTGAGTTGCTTTTCTACACTCTAATTCTGGTTCGTATGTAATTTCCATTGGTTTATTAACATTCATCTTTTCAATTATATCTTTCTTAATTTCAGTCAGTTGTTCTACAAACTTTTTCATCAATCCTCATCTCTGTATAAGTATGGTTGGCATGTATTATCAATCCTGCTTACTACATTCAACATATAACCGCACGGTTTATGTTCCTGATATGTGCCTTTTATACCATTGTTGGAATTAGTGGTTAGACATTCAAAATCTCCATAGATTACAAAAGGACACGGTAATTTAGTGTTATGTTTTTCAAATTCAATATAACTACCTTTATCAGGCATTTTGGTTTGCTGTCCTTCTGATGCCATACAACCTTTTTCCAAATGCTTATTATAGGCCTTTCCGGTTGAGAATGGATTTAAGCAATGATGACAATAATGTTTCCTACTATCATCCTTGTTGCTTTGACAGTTTAGTAATCTACTCTTATTTTTTGCTATGGCATAATGATAATTATTGTCATCATCAAAAGTCTTTAACTAATCAATTTCATATTTAGCATTTTTGTTTTTAGTTCCTCTATGTAAAGTTATTTTGTTGTCCTTCAAGCAGTCATCAGGTTCAAAAACATTTATTGAAACTTGCTTATTGTTTTCTTCAAACCGGTCTATGTCCCTATTCCCTGTAGGAAATTTAACACCTTCCCAATTCAAAATAGTCATTTAACTTGCTATAGTGGAACATCTCTTCTGGATGATGTTTACTGATTTGATCAAAGACTATACATTGAATACAGTATTTGAAACATGTTTGGTCTTTTTTTTAAATGTTGATACACGCCTTTTTAAGTTTAATCCATTCTGGTAGTTCGTAGGGTCATACTTATCAAAATGAATGGTTATTGAAACATTCTTTTTAAATACTAAATTGGACTGTGTGCATTCTAAATCGTCTTTAAATTAAACCGTCCGTTCTGATGTTAAGTTTCATATTTCTATTATTTTTTAAGAAGTCTCTTAATCGTGATGCTTGATGAGCAATCATTTCCAATCCTCGCTCACCTTGAAAGTGCTTATTTTCAAGTTTTATGGAATTGGCATAGTTTCTAAATGCTGACTGGACATCATTTACTCTGAATTTATTTCTTATTGCCCTTCTGGTTAGTAATACTTTTGCTCGTCCAAGGGTGTAAGCATCTTTTGCTTTGTTTAAGGCATAACTCCAAAACTCGTTTGTATGTCTGATTGATTTAAGTGTTTGATTTAAAACATTTGATATGTCTTTTGCTTTATTGTATCTAAAGTTCCTACCATCTATGATTAGTTGCTTTAATTCTTTTCTTCCTCTCTTAGGTATTTCTGCTAAACATTATTTAATAGATAATCTATAACTGTTTTCATCATATAATACTCTATATATGTCATTAAGTCATTTAATCTTTAAGTAGTTTTTATGTGAATTATATGTTTTTGTTCTTAGAATTTGTCTTTATTATGGTCTATTGTTTTGTTTTTCCTGAGAAGTGTTTTATGTTGGTTATGTGAAAAATAGTTTTTAAAGAGAAAGATTGTTATATGATGAGAAATGATGGAAGAGCAATATTGCCAGAAATGTGAAAATACTAAAAGCATCAATAATGAATTTTATGAAGGTAATATATGTTGTAAGAAATGTATAGACTACAACAAAAATTACCATTACAATAACAAAGATAGATACAATGAAGCGCAAAGAAAAAGATATGAAGAAGATGAAGAATATAGAAAAAAGAAACTGGAACAAAAACACAATTTTGATCTAAAAACCATTATCTGTTCTGTTTGTAATTGTTCAATGAGGCAACACTATTTCTCCAGACATATTAAACAAATAAGCATCAAAGGAATTTAAATAATGGTTTGCTGTGATGATTTGTGAAAATGAATGAGGTGATGATATGGTTTGCTGTGATGATTTTGTGAAAATGAATGAGGTAATGATATGGTTGGTAGTGATGATTTTGAAATGGTTGATGGTAAAATGAAACAATCAACCATATTAAAAATCTGTTTTTAGTCTGTTTCATGTTATTTTCAAAACTTCTTTGAATTGTTGTTTTTATCATTTCCCCCCCCCCCGACATTTAAAACCAACTCTTAAACGAAATCATGAGTCGGAGCACTTCACCACCCCCAATACATTTTTGCTAAAGCAAAGACAACTCAGAGGTAGCGTAACCGCTACCTTTCGTGACAATCGCCGAACTTTTGGTTTCTGCAACATCTAAGGCAAAATGGGCAGTGACTGAATGGCTGACAACTCCAAAGCCACTCCCGATGCGATATACATATATATACATACACTCATATATATATATGAGAGAGAGAGAGAACGGGGAATGCGTATATATATATTATACACTGTACTACTATTGCGGTCACTATGGACATGCATACTGAATTGCAGGGGTCGTGGTAGCTGCAGAAACGGATGGAATAGTCTTGAGCATGAAGTCCTCCAAGGGTGACATCTGTGGAAGCCCAGCCGCTTCAAATGGGCTGAGACCAAAAACCATCCCTCCAACACTGCAATACCCTTTAATATCATTTAAATATCTTTAATTCTAAATGGCTGCAGTAGATACTTTCTAGCAAATGACTTTTGGGGGTGTTGCCCCCCACAAGACGTCGCCAATTGGCCAGCCAGGCCCCACCCCCGGATTGGAATTGTTCTCCTGAGGTTTAGCAAGGAAAGGACGGTGAGCGCACGGCGGGCCACCATGGCTGGCATTTGGCACAGTAATGAGGGCTCATCCGAGAATCATTCAGAAAATCAGCAGTCTTGGGCCAATATGCCTGCAACCATAGTGGAATCTTGCTTCTGTGGAGCTGCACAGAAGGGAAAAAAAGATAGAGAAAATAAAATAAGAAGACATGAGAATTAAAAAACAAGAGGGCAAGAAAGTGGTACATAGGGTGGCACGGCTTTTGGTGATGTTCTGCCATCATAGCAGCACTACGCTGATACTCGAAGAAGCGAACCCGGATGCACTCTCTGTGTGTGTGAAGAATGCATATACAGTAATTACTACCATTGGATTGGCACTTTGAACAATGATGGCAACCGAACAAGATCACATCTTTAGCAAGACCAAAGTGGATGACAAGCCGGATGGCTTTCGGCCCGTCCGGAGGATGCAGCTCTGTGCCAACTTCTGCGATCCTTGCCTGGAGCTTGGAGCATCTCGCCGGCGGCAGCGATTCCCTGGGGCTCAGCGATTCCCTGATCCCCCTGCAGGGGCCCAATCACGTTGATGCAAAACAACACCACCAAACAATCAAACAAGGTAAACAAGCCTCTGTTAGTTGTGCCTTAGTGACTACTGCATGTGCTTGTATAATATATCATAACACATATATATATATATATCATTTTATAATAGTCTTTCCTTATCATCATCCTTGATCATGTGTTATGTAATGGTCTCAGGGCCACAAGAAGTGAACTCGGGTAGTTTCGATGCCTTTGGTCCACACCCTAGCTCATCCCCTTAACTGCAGGGGTGGGGTAGTGGCCCCACCTGTACACCGGTCCGTGTTGCATCCAGGGATTGAACCCTGGTCCGACGCATGGATGCGTCATAGCCAATAGAGCATACCTGCCCTTCCCTTAGTGGGGAATGATTGGCCAACGCACCCTGGTCTGTTGGCACTGCTTAGCACTGCTTCGCGCCGCTTGTTTGAGACGATAACTGTGAAGTAAGGGTCGGTAAAATATGATAAAATATGTCTCTTCCTACCGTGCTTGAACTCTGCCCAACTTGCGGCTTAGCTTGAGCCAACTAACACAGTCAAATGAATGAGCTCGAGCAGAACATTCCTCAAAAAACACCACACCTCCCTCTAGTAATGCCTAGAAAGGAGTCTGTCTGTCTTCTTCTTTTGGAGGACCGCAACACGCCCGTGTCTGTCTAAGTGGGCCTGGAACTCGGCGTACGCGCCGAAGGCGCACGCGCCGTGCGCCTTCCAGGAGACAGCGCAAGATCTCTTCGGGCCCACTGCGTACGGCTTTGCGCGTCATCTCCTGGAAATAGATGAAGGCACAGGAACCTCCGGGAAAGGTATATACACCGTTGGGTGCAAAGGAACCAAGGGAAAACCAAGCTCCATGCGACATGGGAGGTATGGACAAAGGGATGATGTTGGACAACGAGAAGAGTACTACCTTCTAATGTTTTGGGCGTGGCGTCAACGTACCTATATAAATTGTGCAGGACTTCGGTGCGCATCATTATACTTTCGTGATAGGAGGTGCCAATCGCAAAGCCCAACACTCTTTTGTTCCCGCGCCTACAGCAGGGGAAGTGACCATGCCCGACAATCTTCCTCGCATCTGCAATCCCAGTGTGGCTGTTGCCTAAAAGACTTCTTCCTTGTCATGAGCAGATGCAGAGCTCGTTGCTGATTGGTTCAAGATGCTGCTCCGCGAGAGGATGGATGGCGCCGCTTTGGGCGCTGAAGGCTTTGGGTAACCGGCCTTGCCTACTTGTTGCCCCTTGGCATCAAGAAGGATGGTTTCGGCCTCAGCTTCTCCTTGAGCAACACCAACCCTAGTTCGCTTTTGAGCATAGTGGTCACAAAACCAGTCAATGAAAGTATTTTTGCGCTCCTCCAATGGAGCAGTGGCCTCAGCTTTCAGGTGTTCCAGGATAGCATCGTGTGCCTCAGCCGGGCCCTTTGTGAACTGCAAGGTGGACCCCGACGGGTTGTCAAAGACATGATCCAAGCTATTGTTGGCACAAAGCCTGGCTCTCTCCGCGAAAGCTGCTGGGTCAGAGATGAAGAGCTGTCTTGCTTCAGGGTTTAGGGCTGGGCGGGCAGTGTTGGCAAAGTACTCTCTTCGAAGGAAGGCTCGATGTAAATGAGGCAAGGCAAAGGCTGCAAAGTCTCGTCCAGGTTGCCACTCGGGAAACAGGGAAACTAGCTCCACTTGACCAGTCTGTGGGTCAACCATGGGGTGGAAGACATCAGATGTAAAGAAGAGATCTGGTGCCTGCTCTGGGTATTCCTCCGGTAGGACCAGGCGAAACTTGAAAACAGCTCCTTTGTAAAGGCCCTGACGAACGAACAAAGCCCCTTGCCACGTTAGCACTGAGTCGAAGCAGGGCAAAACATACATCCCAGAAGGAAGCAAATCCTGCATGCGTTCATACTCCAAGAGAATGCCATACTGTTGCAATAAATTGCCGATCTCTTCTTCCTGCTCCTCTTCCTCAAGCACAGGCTCTTCCTCAGGCTTCTTCTCCTCAGCTTTTTTGGTGGTCGAGTGCTCCTTCAACCACTGGTTGAATTTCTTCAACTGATCCATGGCCAGAAAAAGCGGCGCAACTCCCGCCCGGTAAACTAGAGGCCAAAAGAGCTCTCATGTCCCTGGCGCAGGCTTGGCAGGGGCAGTGCATCGATCAATGGCATAGCTATTGCCTATTGCGCGTTCCTCCCGTCATGCAGCCCCACAAAATGAGCCGTTTGCAAACACGTCGAGGGGAGAAACAACAATCGCTGGATATGTTAGATGCAGTGACACCAAAAATAGCCTGAACAACCTAGCATTGGATGTGGCGAATCCAAAGAACATTCCAACTCACTTGGGATTCGTCGGATTTGACCCGTCTTTATATGTGTTTATACTGTTTGAGTCATTCCGTCACGAGGGTGAGCGACTTTCACATTTGACCTTGACCGCTCAAATTGGCGTCTGGCAGTGGGGGGTTCATCCCGCATCATCCCGCAGGTGCGCTGCCGTCCTGCCAGGGCCTGGTGAGCTGTGCCCCACTCAGCAAGTCCCTCACGGAGTCGGTGACCCTCAGCGTGGCGTGCATGGCGTCAGGACGTCACGGCGTCGGGGACGGATGAGGCGTATAGGGACGCCAGTGGGACGGACATGACCATGAACCTGCATATAGGGAGGAAAAGGAACTGGACCTGATTGGTTTGGAGTTGCGCATAAAGGCATACAGCATACTGACCTCCTCTTTGAGACAAAGGCCGCCTACTTAGACTCAACCCAAAAGAATACAAGATACTTTCAGGGTCGCGATCAATCTGTATACCAAAAAAGGCCTTTGTGGAAATCACCATGACCACATGCCTGTAGGTTCCCCATAATGGGCCTGCACCCAAAGTGCCCGTCATCCACTGACCCCCACTCGCCCGCCAGGCTTCTCCAGGTACGACACTTGCAGCAGTTGCCTTTTTCGGGTGAAGAAGCAACAATGCACATGTGACTGCCGAAACTGACCCTCTGGATTAGCATAGGCGTGCGGGAATCTACAGATACAGATTCGGGAGGAAATGGGCAATGCAAGTGTTTGCATGACCTGACGCCCAAGTCAACAGAGTTGGATCAAGATAACTGTTGTTGTAAGCTTGTAAGCATCTTTCCGAATTTTCCGTGGACAGGTTGGAAATTTCGATGTTAATTTAACTAGTTCACATGACGTTGTCATTCTTTTGCATGTGTTTGCCGTATGTGTTTGTCATTTCCAGATTTGCTGCCATTTGGTATGTCAGTGGTTTGTCCTTTTTGGTCCTTCTTGCTTTGGTGGCAACAATTTCTCAGTATCGCTGAATGGTCACCTTGGATTGCCAACCGGCAAGCATAAAATATTCTGTGCAATCAAGCGAGGTACTAACGAGGACATATTCAGTTGACGGGCACAATACATAATGTGTATATATATATAATATATTTATATATACATATGTTGCAAAGACAATTGTATATTTCTATGTGGAACAGGAATGAAAAAATAACACCAAAAAGAATAGAGTGACTAGCAGCATAACAAGGCAGCGCAAATATGACCATCTCATGGAGAAATGCATTTCAAAAACTGACACCATAAATGTTGTGAGCATCAATTCGACATCGATTCTCATAAAAACTCAGAATATTGCAAGTGCAAAACCAAACGAAGACGTCGAACTGCACTACTCACGGCCCCTCACCTGGAATTAACTGTGCGTTGCAAAACAGCATAAAAAAGCTACCTTCAAGGGTGAGGAATTGGCTCGCTCAAACTGACCGAAACTGAAGCTGGATGCGTGCGGATTGCAAACACTCGCCAGAAATGCACCAACTCTGTACAGTCCTCCCATTGCCAGCCCCCCCCCACAGGCCAAGTCACTGTGGCGCCCTCTCCCAGATGTGCGTTGCAGCCAGTTGCACCAGCCCGGGGCCGTCCCCGCCCTCGCCAAGAGCATTTCAATCAAAAAGATTTTGCAGAAACAAGAAAGAGGGAGAGTGTGGGTGGCAAAAGGCTCTCTACTCTCCGCTTGTTCGACTATTTCAGGAAGATGGACCCTGCCCCACCCTATGGCTGGAGATGATCAAATGAAAGCAAAAACGAACCACACACCACAATGTGCTGGTCTTCCCAGTTGTCCTGCAATTTTTCTGGAACGCCATGGAATCCACGAATGAAATGAGATGAGGGTCTTGCTGGAAAAGGGTCTGGCAAGAAACGAGGGGGATGATTTCAATTGAAAAGGAGCCTCGAACCATCAAAACCTCGCCTGCATGGTGAAGGTCTTCCCAGAAGCCTTGGAGCGCCCCGGCCCAAAGCGGCTCTGGGCGGCATGGACCGTTGGACCGTCGCTGACTCGCCCAAAACCTGTGCGGCCTCGCCCAAGTTGGGCCTGCCACACAATTGGAAGAACTACATAAATTAACTAAATATACTGTATATCCTGTCATACCGATTCCCCTCAGTGAAGTGCTCCAATTGTCCCAACCAACTAGGAGGGATCCTATGGAGGAACCTCTCAACTCCAAGGTTTTGTCTCCCATCGCCCACCTGAGCTGCAGACCCTCGGGCCGCAAGCAAAGATTGTGCAGGTGGCACCATCACAGAAGGCATCGATCACATGCTGCACCTCTATGCCGTAGCGACCCGGCATCACGAGAAGAGAAAGAAAACCCTTCTGGCACATGTGGGGAGACCGTCCTGTTCCTACAGCTGCATTCTGAGGCAACATCAACGCCCCGTCAAGCACAAGAATGCACCAGATGTAAGAACGAATTGAGGAGAGAAACAGGTAACAGCTCAACAACCACAAACATAATGCTGGTCTATGTCTGTCATGGGCTCAAGACCAAAACCGAGCCGGCTGGCTCCACGGGCTGGGCCGGTGCACCGAGGTCTCGTAGAGGTCCCAGGTGGACGCTCTGGGCCCAAAGACCTGATCAAAGTGCCAGCGCTCGCCCGACCTGCGACGGGAGGCCAAACGGCAAACGGTCACAGACCACCAACGAAATTTGGGAGGTCTGTCAACGACCCTGGCGGGCGACGCAGCCGTGTTTCTGGTTTTCTCAGAAATGGGAGGAAACAAGCCTCCAGTTGGATGTGAGTGTGATCGGTTCACCCAAGGTCAGGCGAAATCATCAGCTACGGGAAAAGGTGTGGGAGCTCTTCAACTGCGGGGGCGGGGGCATCGGTCTTGTGCCGCATGTTCAGCGCTTCTTAAGCATCCCTTGCCCTCTGGGCGAGTGTGGTAAGAGTGGGGTAGTCGCATTGTTGACTAACAAAACGGAAAGAAACTAGCGGTGAATTAACCACGCGGTATCTCGCAAAGTAAAAGCGGCAACTCATTTACACAAACGGCATACCTAAAAGGGCCCTTTAGGAATGGGCACCCCAGAAAAATCACGGTTCACTGTCCAAATCGACGAATTTCATCACTCAAACCGCATCTCTGTTTCAACATTGTTGAACGGAAATTTATATATTCATCTTCGCTTCATGGTCAAACATCGGCACTTGGATCAGGTGAAATGGTCGGGTTGGAGTGAAAAGGCGGATCGCAGAGATCATTGATGTAGGCTAGTTAGGGCATGCATAGTTTCCACGATATTGGGGAGGTTAGTTAGGGCATGCAGGTCCTTAGGTTAGTGCTTAACACCAAACCCGAGGGCTAGAAGACTACGGCGATTGGATTCCGTAAGTTGGATCTAGCGCTTGGCGACTCAAAGTTTGAAGTGTTGGCACTATATTATAGTGTTCGCCTGTAACCGCTATCGCACCGCCCACAGTGGGTTGGAAGCAACTGGATGTTGCTTGAGTCAGAAGATGCAGAACTGCGCGGCCTATTCCCGGAAGACGGATCGGGAGGGACAGTCCTGTGGCTAACATAAAGGAAATTGCTAACTCAATCCAACTAATTGCCCAAGTCACTTTTAGATGGCAATGACGCCGGGGCAGGCCATGGAAGCTGTCGAAGAATTCCCAGACTGCTTTGAATAGGGTTCTTCCCCAGATGCAAGCGGCAAACACTTGTGGTGATGGAGTTACCGTTGGGGCAGGTCTAGCATGTTCTTGCACTCACTCTGTGAGGCGTTGGTTTGTAGCCTGGTAGGTGTTAGCTGCTTGGAGGGCTTGCCCAAAGAACTGTCATCCCATGCATTCATTCAGCCCTAAAAAGAAGAGCTTGAATATACATAATCTATATCATAGTTTTAATGTATATATAGTATTCTGGCAACTGGGGGTTCGCCTATTTTGTCCTGGCGTTTTGACTCACATGGAGGTCAAGGGTGATTATACAAGTGCTCTATTTAGTGACTCTAGTAGGGGTGGCGATCCTTATCCATTCATTCAGGACTCAGGACTCCTGGAAATTAAGCTGGACATGGTTTGCAAATTAAATTTAGATCCACTTAGGAACTTGACGGGTAAAAAAGCTTGGCACTACGGCACCTTGCCTGTCCACCAAGAACTTCTGTGAGCTCTCCCACGCCACAGGGCCCTGTGTTGGCCGCAACCGCACCGCTACCTTGGGCTCCATGTTTGGCTCGAAAAGCAACTATGTAACACCATGCTCGTAACCCTCTTTGGTCTTCACTGGCTTGCAGACAAAACACAGATATATGACAATCTGGGACCTCCTCCATCTTCGAGTTCACTCTGAGGCCCGAGGTGGTGCCTGGTTTCAAGCACCAGGGTTACAAGGCTGCGCACAAGCCGCCCCGCCCTGCATGATCCAAAAGGCCGCGGAGAACATATGGATGCCTAGAGGACGAAGACCCTGATGAAAATCAAGGTTTTTGGATGCACGCACCCACTGAGAAGGAGGCGCAAAACAACGAAAATGGTGCAAGGGGCGTCACACGTGGGACTCACGTCCATCAATCCTCCCGAAACCAAACATTAAAACAATTATTATACAAGAAATTATAAGAACCCATAAGACCTGTTGAAAAACCCTGTCGAGGGAGGAAATCAGCAGATTCTGTCCAGTCATTCATACGGCATACAATTAATCTTCCTGGAACCTGGTCACAGGCCATCCACGCATCCCCTGGTCAAGATA